CCGCCTGTCTTCAAGGCGCATTACGTGGCTCGTGGTTTCAGTTAGCGGCAGGGAGTTGACTACTTTCATACCTTCTCCCCCACCCCAAAGATGACCACTCTTCGAGTACTGCTGCACGTTGCTGCTCACCGTGACTACGAGCTGCACTCTCTCGACTTCAGCACAGCTTTCTTGCAGGGCGGCCTGCACGAGGAGATCTGGCTGCGCCGCCCACCTGGCTTCACTGGGTCTTTCCCTCCTGGTACCCAGTGGAGTCTCCGGCGTCCAGTCTACGGTCTCTGCCAGGCGCCAGGTGAGTGGCACGACACACTGAGGACTACGCTTGCGGCTCTTGGGTTTGCTCCTTCTACTTCCGACCCGTCGCTGTTTCTGCGCACCGACACCTCTCTGCCGCCGTTCTACATCCTCGTGTACGTCGACGACTTGGTCTTTGCCACAGCTGACACTGCTGGACTCGCCTACGTGAAGTCCGAGCTGCAGAAGAGACACACGTGCACTGACCTGGGTGAACTGCGCAGCTACCTTGGCTTGCAGATCACCCGGGACAGAGCACGCCGCACCATTACCCTGACTCAGTCACACATGGTGCAGCAGGTCCTTCAGCGCTTCGGCTTCACGTACTCCTCGCCTCAGGCCACTCCTCTGCCGACTCGCCACTCAATCTCAGCTCTACCTTCGGATGAGTCCGTAGAGTCGAGTGGCCCGTATCCAGAGCTTGTTGGCTGCCTCATGTACCTGATGACCTGCACACGACCTGACCTTGCATACCCTCTTAGCATTCTTGCACGCTATGTTGCTCCTGGGAGACACCAACCAGAGCACATGGCTGCAGCGAAGAGGGTGTTGCGCTACTTGTGCAGTACGTCGAGCATGGGGCTAGTGTTTGGAGGGCGGACGCTTCTTGGGCTTACGACCACGCTACGCAGCGGTTGTCACAGGGTTACACCTTCAGCCTTGGTTCCGGCTCTGTTTCGTGGCGGGCTACTCGCTCGTCTTCTGTTCTCGGCTCCAGTTGTGAGGCTGAGATCTACGCCGGGGCCATGGCTGCACAGGAGCTTCGCTGGCTCACCTACTTGCTGACCGACCTTGGAGAGCAGCCTCGTTCTCCTCCAGTCCTGTACATAGACAACAAGGCCATTCTGGCCTTGTGTCGAGAGCAGAGACTGGACCACAAAACAAAGCACATTGCTCTTCGCTACTTCCTTGCTCGTGAGCTACAGCAGGGTGGTCGGTTGCGGCTTGCGTACGTGGCCTCTGAGGCCAACACTGCTGATGTTTCTACCAAGGCACTTCCGCCTTGTGATCATCAGCGCTTCTGCACTCAGCTGGGCCTTGTCCCTGTCTTGCCTCACTTGCTCACCCCTTGACCTTGCTTGTACTGTTACATATATATATACCTGCTCTTGCTTGTCTAGCCTTATATATATATATGTACTCCTGCATGTGAACTGGCCTTGTGGCCTTTAACTTGTGCTCAGAATGTGTGGTGACGTTGTGATCCACCCTGAGCTTGCTTTGCTTTGCTTTGCTTGACCAGTCTTGTGACCCCTTGTTCTCCCCCACTTTGCCTATGGGGGTGTGTCAGAACATTATAGCTTATACTTTTGTGTAGGCTGTAGTGGCTGTACCCGCTTCATTCATAGTTCATTCATTCTCGTTTCTTCTCACTGTGTACGCCTGGATTTTTTCGCCTTCGGTCAGGTCGGTGATGCGGTTGAACAGTGACTCCATCTGCTGCGTGTACTGTGCTACACTGCTGTATTGCTTGTGTCGGTGTATCTGCTGCCGCGCCATGTAGGTCATATTAATCAGTTCGAAACATTCTATTAAATCTGCTCGAAACTGCTGCCACGTTTTCTCCCCACGGGCTACGTTGGTGTAGTAAATCCATTCGAGTGCTGGTCCACGTAACAGTGTCGCTGCGAGCCAAATCCGTGCTGCGTCGTGTTGCGGGGTCGAACAGCCAATAGCCTCGAAGTAAATTTCGAGGGTTGCCACGAATCACCGGACGTTGGATGCTTTCGCGCTTGGATCGAACGCCTCAGGGAGCCTCGGTCGTGCTGCTTCGAGGTTTGGTGACAGTGGTGCCATCGGTCCGTGAAATGTCGGTGTCACCACTACTGCGGGTGTTGTCGCTGCTGCTACAGTGGCGATCCCTGGTTGGTGTGTCAGAAGGGCCTCGAGCCGACGAAGCGTCGCCTGCGTCTGCTCCATGTCGGTGTAGAGGCTCGCGATGTCGCTCGTGGTCGCGTAGTTGTCGCCTTGGCCCTCCATGCCTGACATTAGCGTGTCCGAAAAACCGAATCGAGGGGGAGCAAAAAACACCGAACCGGTTTTACGTACCCGAAATCGATGTTTAACTACGTCGCCCCCGCGGTTTTTGAAGACTGGTTTGTAGCGGTCGAAAAACTTCGCATGTAAACGGGCTCTGATTACCAAGTAGGAGGATCTAGGATCGAGCTCAGAAAAGAGAGTTTGAATTGAATGATCACCTGGGTACAACACGAGGCTATATATAGGCTTGACACAAGGCCCCGTAACCAGGTGTTACGCGAAGGTTCCGCGGGTCGCGAAGCGTCCCGAACAGATCCTTCCCGAATTCGGTAGAAGGCAATTCGGTGGCAACCGAAAAGCCAGAATTCGGTGCACGCAACCTAGCTCGGTGCTATAACTATAATAAAATATAGGAAAGCACCTAGCCTAGGAAATCAAGCAATTCATGCATGCATATAATTATCCTATGCTAGAAATAGCATAATAAAGTAAGGCAAGCAAGCATAGCTGGCATAAGCCGTCGTACTCTCACAAAATGCCTCCTTGCACCAGTTGCGGATTCTTGTGTTAGAGGGTGGTGTTGTCGTACTAACGCGACCCGTAGTGTCAGAACCAAAGACTCGTATCAACGGGCCTTTTTCTGCGCGGCCATAGCCTGCCAACTGGATGAAGCGTTTGGTGCACCGTACGGGGCAAAAAGGGCCCGGACTGGCGGCTACTGGGACCCATGCGCCTTCTCCTGCCTGGTCTTTTTTAGAGTGGGGGATCAGGGGCCACATAGCGTCTTGCTCGAACTCTATCTCGAGCCAATTGAGTGCGACAAGGTCTGAGTATCGCAAGAAGCCGGCGTACATGCGAAGTGGGATGAACCCCTTCTGAAACTCGCCCGGGTTGTTCGATTCCAGGAATTCCGCGGCCATTGCATGTACTTGATGCAGAGAGACGGGTTCCTTGAGTCGCTAGGGCCGCGGACAATGTCGCTTGGCGAAGTCTCGCACATTGGATGTGAATGGCCCGGTGGACGGGCACGTGGCCCCAATCATCCGATGCGCGAAGCTGACTGCCGATCATGTCAGTTGTACTGCTGATATGGTGGCCTTCTGTTGAATCGCGTGGACCAGGTATAATGCGAGTGTCATGTCTGTGCATGGCAGGAACTGCAGTTTCACGTCAATGCAGAATGCTCGGAACTTGGCTCAGTATGGTTCGTAGGTGCGAATGGTGGAGTCAGCCCTTGTATGCGTCGTTATCCGAAGCAACTCTTACTTGAGCCGCTCGAGCAATCCTGCACCAGATGTGTGAATGGTCAGGTGGCGAAGGACACTTGTAATGCAAGAATCGGGCTATGAGGCAATCCTTCCCCAGAAAATGCGCGAGTGTGGGTGCCTGCGGTCAGGCACTCGCTCCCATGGGTGAGGCGGATGTGAGAGAGAATGCAGGAGGCCCATTGGGGCGGGGCGGGTTGTAGTAACGGCCACCAACTTGCCCCTGGCCAATGAGGCACGACGAGCGTGAGCGATGCTCGCGTCCTTTGGGCGTGGTGCAGCACCGCTGGGATGAGGTGGGGTGGCGGAAACGCATATGCATGCTCGAAGGCCCACGATATGGAGAGGGCGTCGGTTGCCTCTGCGTCAGGGTGAGGAGTTTTGGAGCAGAAGCGAGCCAACTGGGTGTTGTTCGCGTTGGCAAATAAATCGATTGAGTGCGGTCCCAAGCGCCGCTCGATGAGCGGGAACCATGGTGCTTTCATTGCGTAGTCGTCTCGATCGATCATCTTTGAAAGTTCATCCGCTCGTGTGTTGAGTTCGCGCGGAATCCATTCAACTGTCAATCGGATCCCAAAGGTGACGCACGCTTGAATGATGGCTCTGCACGTTGTTGTGAGGCTCGGGGTCCGCGAACCACCTTTGCGAAGAATAAAGAAGACACCTTGATTCTCGGTTCTGGCGAGGACATGTCGGTTCTGGATCCTTCCGGAGAATGTCTGCAATGCCCATAGGACTCCGTCCATTTCCTGTTGTATGCTGGAGGCTGTCGTGAGGTGCACGGGCATGGTCGCGCTCGCCTCGATTCGCCTTCCCGGAAACGTATCTAGTGTCACTCCCCAACTGTGTGCGATGGCGTCCACATGGATTACTGCGTCATAGCTATTCGGGACATGGAACGGGGCTCCATTGAATCGGTCAAATTCATGTGGCCAAAACTCAAGCTCTTCGATGACCGCAGGGACCAACTGCTGTTCCAAGAAGGGGCATCCTGAATGGTCTGTAGTAGGTTCTGGCTAATTTGTAGGTTTAGGGTACAAGTAGGAAAACCTATAAGTGTTGTACCCCATATTGTCTACCCCACTACAGCCTACACAGACTATAGCATATGAGTTTTACACACCCCCATAGGCAAAGTGGGGGAGAACAAGAGGTCACAAGATCAGTCAAGCAAAGCAAAGCAAGCTCAGGGTGGATCAAAACGTCACCACACAGTCCGAGCACAAGAGCAAGGCCACAAGGCCAGTTCACATGCAAGATCATTGTGAAGAAACGAGGAATGAGAAATTAGAGAAGAGAGGGCGTTCACTAGCAAACATTGGGATACATATAGCAAACCCTAAAGGGTTGTATTCACTATAGAGTACCCCACTGCAGACTAGAGAAACATAATATTCTGACAATCAAATATAAAGGTAAACAAGCAAGTGCAGGTATAGAAAGATCACAGTACAAGCAAGGTCAAGAAGTGAGCAAGTGAGGCCAAGTAGGCACAAGACCTAGCATCGTACAGAAGCGCTGATGATCACAAGGCGGAAGTGCCTTGGTAAAGATATCAGCAGTGTTGGCCTCAGAGACCACGTAAGCAAGGCGCAGCTGACCACGCTGCTGCAGCTCACGAGCAAGGAAGTAGCGAAGAGCAATGTGATTCGTTCTGTGCTCCAGTCTGTGCTCCCGACACAAGGCCAGCATGGCCTTGTTGTCTACGTACAGAACTGGAGGAGAACGAGGCGGCTCTCCTAGGTCAGTCAGCAGGTAGGTGAGCCAGCGTAGCTCCTGTGCAGCCATGGCCCCCGCGTAGATCTCAGCCTCACAGCTGGAGCCGAGAACAGAAGACGAGCGGGTAGACCGCCACGAAACAGAGCCGGAGCCAAGGCTGAAGGTGTAACCCTGTGACGACCGCTGCGTAGCCTGGTCGTAGCCCAAGAAGCGTCTGAGAGACCTGTGAGGACCACTGGACGTCGCCCTCCAAGCACTAGCCCCATGCCCGACGTACTAAACAAGTAGCGCAACACCCTCTTCGCTGCAGCCATGTGCTCTGGTCGGTGTCTCCCAGGAGCAACATAGCGTGCCAAGATGCTAAGAGGGTATGCAAGGTCAGGTCGTGTGCAGGTCATCAGGTACATGAGGCAGCAAACAAGCTCTGGGTACGGGCCACTCGGCTCTACGGACTCATCCAAAGGCAGAGCTGAGAGCGAGTGGCGAGTAGACAGAGGAGTGGCCTTAGGCGAAGAGTACGTGAAGTCGAAGCGCTGAAGGACCTGCTGCACCATGTGTGACTGAGTCAGGGTAATGGTGCGCTGTGCTCTGTCCCGGGTGATCTGCAAGCCAAGGTAGCTGCGCAGTTCACCCAGGTCTGTGCACGTGTGTCTCTTCTGCAGCTCAGACTTCACGTGGGCGACTCCAGCAGTGTCAGCAGTGGCAAAGACCAAGTCGTCGACGTACACGAGGATGTAGAGCGGCGGCAAAGAGATGTCGGTGCGTAGAAACAGCGACGGGTTGGCTGTAGAAGGAGCAAACCCAAGAGCCGCAAGTGTAGTCCTCAGTGTGTCGTGCCACTCACGGGGCGCCTCGCGGAGACCGTAGACTGGCCGCCGGAGGCTCCACTGGGTACCAAGAGGAAACGACCCAGTGAAGCCAGGTGGGCAGCGCAGCTAGATCTCCTCATGCAGGCTGCCCTCCAAGAAAGCTGTGCTGAAGTCAAGAGAGTGAAGCTCGTAGTCGCGCTGAGCGGCTATGTGCAGCAGCACCCGAAGAGTGGTCATCTTCGGGGTGGGAGAGAAGGTCTGAAAGTAGTCAACTCCCTGCCGCTGACCGAAGCCTCGAGCCACGTAACGCGCCTTGAAGACAGGCGGAGAACCCGGCGGCCGCTTCACCTTGAAAATCCACATGCCACTGACGATGTTCGCCCCAGGTGGGGGAACCTCGTCGACGTAGGTGCCTGTGGACTTCCAGGAAGCCATCTCTGCGTCCATGGCTGACTGCCACTAAGAGGAGTAGGGACCCTCGATCGCCTCAGCGTACGATCGAGGAGTCGGGATGTCTGGTGCATCCGGGTCTCCCTCAGGGGCAATTAGCGTGGACACGAGATGAGGCAAAGCAGCAGCAAAACACTGGAACTCCTCCTGCCTGTCCTCAAGGACGTCCGTCCCAAGAGCACACTCACCCCCGACGGACGGAGGACAGACAGACTCAGACTCAGCAACAAGACTAGCGGCGTAGTCTAGACGATAGCGAGCTGCAAAGTCGACAAGCTCAGCAACCAAGGCAGACGCAGCAGTGGACTCAAAGGAAGGAGACGCGTGACTGTAGGACTGGCAGCACGAAGAGAGTCAGACTCCGGGTCAGCAAGAACAGAAAGAGAGGACTATGGAGGAGACGGCAACGGGACACGCAGAGGAGCAGTGGAAGGACGTAGTGCCATCTGGTGTGTGCCTGGGACCGCAGGAGGACGCGGACGCGGAGCACGACCACTAGTGCGAGCAGCACAAACAGGCGATGCAGGATGAGACGCAGGCTCACGACGCTCAGCAAGACCTCCAGTAGGACCAGTGTAGGGAGAAGGAGCAGGTAGGGGGGAGGCGGGCTGTAACTGTGACCGCGACTGGACAGGCTGTGGACACTCTAAGGGAGGAGCAGGACCATTAGAGCGGGGGAGACCAAGAACCTGCTCAAGGAGCGGAACGAAGTACGGCCTCGGCCGTGCAGCGCCTTCAGAACCAGCAGGAACAGCACCAGTACCCCCAGCGGCAGCACCAGTGCCAGCAGCACCTCCAGCTCCAACAGCGCCAACTCCAGCACCCTCAGACGCACTAGCGCCAGAAGAACCACCAGCGCCAACACCCCCAGCAGCTCCAGCTCCAGCAGCTCCAGCAGCACCAACTCGAGCAGGATCGGTAGCTCCAGTACCGCCAGCAGCTCCAGCAGTACCTCCAGCAGGACCAACTCCAGCAGCCCTAGCAGCACCCCTAGTCCCAGCAGCTCCAGTACCGCCAGTAACAGTAGTACCTCCAGCTCCAGCAGCACGGCTCCAGCGACGGGCAAACCACTCGCGCAGCTCCTGTGGAGAGAGTGGCTCCCGCCTCGACGAAGCACCGCCAGAGGCCACACGAGCAGACCCAGCACCCCCAGGCTCAGCACCCCCAGGCTCAGCACCCCGAGACTCAGCACCCCCAGGCTCAGCACCCCAAGGCTCCGCACCCCTAGACTCAGCACCCCCAGGCTCCGCACCCACAGGCTCGGCACTTCCAGACCCGGCACCCGCAGGCTCAGTACCTCTAGCAGCACCAGAGTCTACAGCTACCTCGACAGGCTCGACTGCGTCTACCTGGGACACACCTGACGGGGCAGGACCCTGAGGGGGGAGGGGGTCTTCAGGGGGAGGACCTGGCGCAAGGAAGAGCGGCGGCGGGGGGAGGGGCGCAGTGCGGTAGGGGAAGAGACGGTAGTAAGGCACCGACTCGTCGAAGGTGACGTCCTGGGAGGACAGAACATGGCGCGAGGTGGGGTGGTAAACTTGCCAACCACGCGCGTCAGGGGGGAAGCCAAGGAAGACGCAGGGAACAGCACGGGGGGACAGCTTGTCCGCACACAATTCGCGGACAAACGCCCGATATCCCCAGACCCGAAACGCAGACGCATCACCAACCTTCCCCGTCCACCGCAAGGTGGGGGTGGTCTCAGGCAAGGAGACCCAGGGCTGAAGGTTGAGCTGATGCGCTGCGTACTGAACCGCAAACGGCCACAGAAAATGGGGGGCAACTGCATGGATCATGGACGTACGAGCAACGTCCATGACCATGCCAATGCGGCGCTCAGCAATCCCATTTTGCTGTGGAGAGGCCGGAAGCGTGAAGGTCTGGCGGATGCCCTTTGCACGACAGAAGGCTCCCAGACGGGCAGAGGAAAACACCCCGCCTCTGTCAGAGTGCAGACGCAGAACAGGAAAGTCCGAGCCAGAACTCTCTCTGAGCTGGAGACGAGCTGCGTGGATCCAGTCGATCAACATCTCAGTGACGTCACCCTTGCTGCGCAAGGGGAAGACCGTGGTGTAACACGAGTAGTCGTCAACCACCAACACGAAGTAACGCTCGTGACCCTGGCCACGGACGTGGGCGGGGCCCCACACGTCCATGTGAAGAGTCTGCAGCGGAGCCTCTGTCGGAGGAAACTCGGAGGAGTGAGGGGCGGCGCGCTGTCGCCCCTTGATGCAGGTGATGCAGGTAGGGGCAGGTGAGTGGTACACTGCACGCCAGCGGGGTGGGGGTTTTGGTCCGTGCACCTACGTCGTGCGCACCGGCGACCGTGCGGGTGAGCAATGTGGGGGTGCGCACCCCACTCAGCGTTCCTTTGGCCGCCTGATGGACGCTTGGCGTCACCAGTTTCCGGAGGCCACGGAGATCCCCCGCTGGGGTGAGCTGTCTAGGGCCGGAGTAGCTATCTTTGATCTTGACTTTGATGCTATCCTTGCTGCCATGTATGCAGTGACTATTAGTAAGGAGGGTGACTGTTACCGGTGTTTCCCGCCCGACGCAAGCATTGAGACTGCTGCTCTAGGCACTGGTGAGGCTGTTGCTCTAGGTGCTAGCGAGGGTGCTGCTCTAGGTGCCAGTGCGTCTGCTCCCTCAGGTGCTGGTGAGTCCGCGCTCTCAGGTACCGAGCCGGCTTCGGCCTCCCTCACCTTCACCCTTGACTCGGGGACTTCTCGCTCCTTCTTTCGAGACCGCACCACTCTCACGCCGCTTGGTCGGCCAGTTGCGATCTCTCTGGCAGACCCCTCTGGGGGTCCTATCCTTGCTCACTTCTCTACTGTCCTCTCGTGTCCGGCGGCTCCCTCTGGCACCTTGTCTGGTCTTTACCTCCCCTCGTTCTCTACGAACTTGGTGAGTGGTGCTGACCTTTAGGATGGGGAGTTCACCACTTCACTCCTGCGAGCCAGCGGGTGACCCACTGCACGGACGCTCGGACGGGCCGACAATTGGCCACGTTTACTCGTCGGCCGGGGTCGAGCCTGTACCCACTGACCACTCCGTCTCCTTCTGTCCCTGCATCTGGCCAGGTAGCTGCGGCGGGTCAAGTGTTTGCTGCAGCGTCCAGGTCTGGTCCTGAGTCTGCCCCCTGCTCGTGTCGCCTCCTTTCTCACGAGACTCTCCTCTGGCACCACCGTCTTGGTCACCCCTCCCTGCTTCATCTCCGAGGCATGGCCTCCCGTCTCCTAGTCTCTGGTCTTCCCCGGTCCCTCCCTCCCCTTCCTCCGGGGCCTGGCCCTACCTGCGTCCCCTGTGTCGAGGGGCGGCAGCGCGCTGCCCCTCACTTCTCCCAGTTTCTGTCAAGAATAATATATATTTCTATATATTGTTTTGTAACTGCCTGTAGTGTAGACTACTGTAGTTATATAATGTTCTGTTTGGTGGTGCACCTTTCTTCTTGCCTATTTGTACTGCTCGCTCTATAGTGAAACCCCTCACTTTCTTGCAATCTTCTCGACTTACCTAAACCCACTCGAGCTCAACTCTCCTCCTAACTAGCTATGGCTTCTTAGCCTAGCTCAAGTTTTGACAGTTTCCTCCGACAGAGGCCCCGCTGCAGACGCTTCACCTGGACATGTGGGGCCCAGCCCGCGTCCGAGGACAGGGTCACGAGCGCTACTTCCTGTTGGTGGTTGACGACTACTCGCGTTACACCACAGTCTTCCCCTTGCGCAGCAAGGGTGATGTCACTGAGGTGTGGATCAACTGGATCCGCGCAGCTCGTCTCCAGCTCAGGCAGAGCTTCGGCTCGGACTTTCCTGTTCTGCGTCTGCACTCTGACATAGGCAGAGAGTTCTCCTCTGGCCTTCTGAGAGCCTACTGCCGTGCACGAGGCATCCGCCAGACCTACACGCTTCCGTACTCTCCACAGCAAAATGGGATTGCTGAGCGCCGCATTGGCATGGTCATGGACGTCGCTCGTACGTCTATGATGCATGCGGCAGCCCCCCATTTTCTGTGGCCGTTTGCGGTTCCGTACGCGGCGCATCAGATCAACCTCCACCCCAGGGTGTCCTGCCCGGAGACCTCCCCAGCCTTGCTGTGGACGAGGAAGGTTGGCGATGCGTCTGCGTTCCGTTTCTGGGGATCTCAGGCGTTTGTTCGCGACTTGTCTGCGGACAAGCTGTCCCCTCGTGCTGCTCCTTGCGTCTTCCTGGGTTTCCCCCCTGACGCGCCAGGGTGGCAGTTCTACCACCCCACCTCTCGTCGTGTTCCGTCCTCCCAGGACGCCACGTTTGACGAGTCGGTCCCCTACTACCGTCTCTTCCCCTACCGCACTCCGTCCCTCCCCCCGCCGCCGCTCTTCCTTGTACCAGGACCCCCCCCGGTAGATCCCCTCCCCCCTCAGGGTCTTGCCCCTTCAGGTGTGTCCCAGGTAGACGCAGTCGAGCCTGTCGAGGTCACTGGTGACTCTGGTGCTGCTGAGGGTGCTGAGCCTGGGGGTACTGACTCTGCGGGTGCTGAGCATGTGCGTGATGCGTCTGGGGGTCCTGAGACTAGGGGTGCTGTGACTGGGGGTGCTGAGCCTGGGGGTGCTACGCCTGGGGGTGCTGAGCCTGGGGGTGCTACGTCTGGAGGTGCTGCGCCTGGGGGTGCTGCGTCTGGGGGTGTTGAGCCTGGGGGTGCTACGTCTGGAGGTGCTGAGCCTGGGGGTGTGGAGCCTGAGGGAGCTGGGCCTGCTTGTGAGGCATCCGGCGGTGCTGGGCCTGGAGGTGCTCCGGGTGTTTCGTCTCGGCGGGAGCTGCTCTCTCCACAGGAGCTGCGCGAGTGGTTTGCCAGGCGCTGGAGGCGTACTGCTGGAGCTGGAGGTTCTTCGGCTGCTGAGGGTGCTGGTGCCGTGGGTTCCGGAGGTGCTCGTACTGGAGGTACTGGAGCTGCTGGGCGGGTACGACTGGGGCTGGAGCTGCTGCGGGTGTTGGCGCTGAGGCTACTGCTGTCGGTGCTGGAGGCGTTTCTACTGGGGGTGCTACTGGTGCTACTGGAGGTTCTAGAGGTGGAGGTGCTGCTGGCGCTGGTGCTGCCACTGGGGGTGCTGGTGCTGTCCTTGCTGTGTCTGGAGTCGCCGCGCGGCCTCGGCCGTACTTCATTCCACTCCTTCAGCAGGTTCTTGGTCTCCCGCCTTCTGCTAGTTCTCCTCCTCCGTTAGAGTGTCCACAGCCTGTCTCGTCACAGTTACAGTTATAGCCCGCCTCCCCACTGCCTGCTCCTTCTCCCTACACTGGTCCTACTGGAGGTCTTGCTGAGCGTCGTGAGCCTGCGTCTTGTCCTACGTCGCCTGTCCATGCTGCTCGCACTAGTGGTCGTGGTTCGCGTCAGCGTCCTCCCCCTCTCCCCGGCACGCACCGGATGTCTCTGCGTCCTTCCATTGCTCCACTGCATGCCCCTTTACCCTCTCCTCCTGAGTCCTCTCTTCCTGCTCTTCCCGACCCAGAGTCGGACTCTCTTCGTGCTGCCAGTCCTACTGTCACGCGTTTCCTTGCTACTGTCGTCACTGACCCTTCCTTTGCGTCCACTGCTGCGTCTGTTCTTGTTGCTGAGCTCGTTGACTTTGCTGCTCGTTGTCGTCTAGACTTCGCTACTAGTCTTGTCAGTGAGTCCGAGTCTGTCTGTCCTCCGTCCGTCGGGGGTGAGTGTGCCCTTGGCACGGACGTCCTTGAGGACAGGCAGGAGGACTTCCAGTGTTTGGCTGCTGCTTCACCTCATCTCGTGTCCGTACTGCTCACCCCTGAGGGAGACCCGGATGCACTTGACATCCCGACTCCGCGCTCTTACGCGGAGGCGATAGAGGGTCCCTACTCCTCTCAGTGGAAGGCAGCTATGGACACAGAGATGGCTTCCTCGAAGTCCACAGGCACCTACGTTGACGAGGATCCCCCACCTGGGGCGAACATCGTCAGTGGCATGTGGATTTTCAGGGTGAAGCGGCCGCCGGGTTCCCCGCCTGTCTTCAAGGCGCGGTACGTGGCTCGTGGCTTCAGTCAGCGGCAGGGAGTTGACTACTTTCAGACCTTCTCTCCCACCCCGAAGATGACCACTCTTCGGCGACTGCTGCACGTAGCTACTCACCGTGACTACGAGGTGCACTCTCTTGACTTCAGCACTGCTTTCTTGCAGGGTAGCCTGCACGAGGAGATCTGGCTGCGCCGCCCGCCTGGCTTCACTGGGTCTTTTCCTCCTGGCAACCAGTGGATCCTCCGGAGGCCAGTCTACGGTCTCCGCCAGGCACCGCGTGAGTGGCACGACACACTGAGGACTACGCTTGCGGCTCTTGGGTTTGCTCCCTCTACTGCTGACCCGTCGCTGTCTCTGCAGCCGAGACACCTCTCTGCCGCCGTTCTACATCCTCGTGTACGTCGACGACTTGGTCTTTGCCACAGCTGACACTGCTGGACTCGCCTACGTGAAGTCCGAGCTGCAGAAGAGACACACGTGCACAGACATGGGTGAACTGCGCAGCTACCTTGGCTTCCAGATCACCCGAGACAGAGCACGCCGCACCATTACCTTAACTCAGTCACACATGGTGCAGCAGGTCCTTCCCGCTTCGGCTTCACGTACTCCTCGCCTCAGGCCACTCCTCCGCCTACCCGCCACTCGCTCTCAGCTCTGCCTTCGGATGAGTCCGTAGAGTCGAGTGGCCTGTATCCAGAGCTTGTTGGCTGCCTCATGTACCTGATGACCTGCACTCGACCTGACCTTGCATACCCTCTTAGCATTCTCGCACGCTATGTTGCTCCTGGGAGACACAGACCGGAGCACATAGCTGCAGCGAAGAGGGTGTTGCGCTACTTGTGCAGTACGTCGGGCATGGGGCTTGTGCTTGGAGGGCGCAGTCCAGTGGTCCTCACTGGGCACGCAGACGCTTCTTGGGCTGACGACCAGGCTACGCAGCGGTCGTCACAGGGTTACACCTTCAGCCTTGGTTCCGGCTCTGTTTCGTTGCGGGCTACCCGCTCGTCTTCTGTTCTCGGCTCCAGTT